GGGGTCATCTATAAATGACGTCGCTCTTTTTTGGACTATTTTTACCTCCCTCCCCCTCCCCTCCGTCACACATCGTCACAAAAAGCCAAACTGCACCACTTAAATGACGTCACACCTCAGCCTACAACCCCTCCCCCCCTCATAATTGCAGTTGAATTTTTCTTAAAACATCGATATTTTACCAAAATCTTGTCTGAACTCTGTCTATATAGAGTATTTTAATCTATTCCTATTACAATTTATTGAAACAGTTTCCTAAAACACGAAATAACGTCTAAAATTAGTTTTTAACATGGCTTTTTTATAATGCAAAAGTGTTATGTCTCACCATCTGAACCCTCCCCCCCATCTTCACCCTCATCACACACCGTCACAAAATTACGGACCCCCTTCCCCCCTACGAGTGTGAGTAATTTATGGACGACCCACTAATACTGTATCTACATAAAGTGGTACGACAAGGTTTTAAAATTTTAAGAAGAAGCTTTGATTGGTTGGCAACCGTTCACATTGCGTATTGTTGACGTCACACTCCAGCGGCTGTCCTTATACCGTATTGGCTTTTGAGCTGAGGGTGCCATATTGGTCACGTGTGAGGGTGCCATAGTGCTCACGTGTGAGAATGCCATAGTGCTCACGTGTGAGAGTGCCATAGTGCTCACGTGTGAGGGTGACATAGTGGTCACGTGTGGGGGTGCCATAGTGGTCACGTGTGGGGGTGCCATAGTGCTCACGTGTGAGGGTGCCATAGTGCTCAAGTGTGGGGGTGCCATAGTGCTCACGTGTGAGGGTGCCATAATGCTCACGCGTGAGGGTGCCATAGTGCTCACGTGTGAGGGTGCCATAGTGCTCACGTGTGAGGGTGACATAGTGGTCAAGTGTGAGGGTGACATAGTGGTCACGTGTGGGGGTGCCATAGTGGTCACGTGTGGGGGTGCCATAGTGCTCACGTGTGAGGGTGCCATAGTGCTCACGTGTGGGGGTGCCATAGTGCTCACGTGTGAGGGTGCCATAGTGCTCACGTGTGGGGGTGCCATAGTGCTCACGTGTGAGGGTGCCATAGTGCTCAAGTGTCAGGGTTCCATAGTGCTCACGTGTGAGGGTGCGATAGTGCTCACGTGTGAGGGTGCCATAGTGCTCAAGTGTCAGGGTTTCATAGTGCTCACGTGTGAGGGTGACATAGTGCTCACGTGTGAGGGTGCCATAGTGCTCACGTGTGAGGGTGACATAGTGCTCACGTGTGGGGGTGACATAGTACTCATGTGTGAGGGTGACATAGTGCTCATGTGTGAGGGTGACATAGTGCTCACGTGTGGGGGTGCCATAGTGCTCACGTGTGAGGGTGACATAGTGCTCACGTGTGAGGGTGACATAGTGCTCATGTGTGAGGGTGACATAGTGCTCACGTGTGGGGGTGCCATAGTGCTCACGTGTGAGGGTGACATAGTGCTCATGTGTGAGGGTGACATAGTGCTCACGTGTGAGGGTGCCATATTGCTCACGTGTGAGGGTGACATAGTGCTCATGTGTGAGGGTGACATAGTGGTCACGTGTGAGGAAGCTCATGGTAACCCGACCACTGTGATGACAGCGAATGCGCCTGGTGCTATTAGACCCTTGAGTCAAGTAGTACCACTGCCCCCCGTGCAAGAGGCCTACTGAACAGATCCCAAGTACTGAGATAGCCACTGGGTAACTCTGGCAACTACTGGGACACTGCTACATGGGCGTGGCCATCCAAACGTTTTATTTTATCGCAGAAACCTTCCCAGGAGTATTCTCATAAACTTTTCAAAGTTTCATTGCGATCGGATGAAAAGTGTAGTTGTGTATAAAAAGATAATAGACAGACACATAGACGGAAAAACGAATACATATATATATATATATATATATATATATTTATATATATATATATATATATATATATATATATATATATATATATATATATAGTTTGGATATTTTACACATATGTGATACACCGCAAGGATGGCCCAATCTACTGCTGGTGACACACCACAAGGATGGCCCAATCTACTGCTGGTGACACACCACAAGAATTGCCCAATCTACTGCTGGTGACACACCGCAAGGGTAATGTTTGGGGCTCACAGTCACCACCTAGGTAGAGGATGACACAGCTAACAGTTGAGCGCTCTATCTACTGCTGGAGATCCTGACTTGTGACGGATTCTGCTGAACAGATGACGCCAACTTGTATATGAGTTAGACAGGCATATTTTGATTCTCACAATATTTGACAGTTATAGCAGTAAACGTTCGATAAAAGAAATCTACAACTGTCGTTGTTGAGGAACTCTACTTCATCTGTTTCATGTACAGAATACTCTGTGACGGTACTTATCTTGTTGTCAATTTAATTTGCTCTACTATAAACCTTTTTCTCCTAACAACAAAGAAACTGCTAACATTTCAGGAACTGATGTAGACTAAAACATAGGAAAATGATTTTAAAGAAATGACTGCAACCAACCGATCTTGATGCTAAATTTGACTTAATCTTACCATAGAATGTGGACTATCATTCAAATATTCTAAACTTGTATTTTGCAAGCTGGTTCTTGGACCAATTTGTTTTATTGAGTAATCTCCCCAAAACTTTAACTTTAAAACTACCCTAACTATAACACTGTGGGTATGGCAAGTCGGGATATAGACATGATTTTTAATCCATTTTTAATTACTTAAACTTTTAAAAATAGAATAGAACCTCGTAGAAAAAAAGCATTGCGCGCCAAGTGAACGCCAAAACAAATATGTGTATAATAGTGCGGAATATTATAAGTACTTTATAAATTCACATGCGTTTTTTGAGAAATCGGAAATAGCGTAAATTACTACTTCCGGACAACGGAAATTACTCAAAATTTGTGACAAGGCAGAAAATATTTTTTTTAGGCTTTTAAAAATTGAAAGTTGAATAAGTTCCACTTCCGTTTTATCGGAAATCGCTAAAAAGTGGATACAGAACTAAACATTTGATATAATACATATATATACACACACATACGGATAAGATTGCAAAACTATGATTTTCCGACTCAGGGACGGGTAAATCGTCAAAATTTGTAAATATCTGTGGGTTTTTTTTTTGCACGATTACAGTTCTTTCTCTATAGGTTAGCGTATACGAGAAAATAAAAATTTTAAAAAATCTAATTTAATGAAACAGGGAAACAACTATGTAAATACTAGTCATTCAATCTTTTTTTCATTGTTACTTCCCTTTGACCACAAATGGGTTTATTGTAATTTAGAGCTCGCATTATTTATAGCTTAGCTTAGTCCAAAGATGAATATTTCATACCGAGAGTAAAGTGATGAGACCGATGTTGTCCCTAATTCATCCTCTTGCTTTAACTGACAAGGTATCGATATCAGAGGCGTAGTGAGGGCGGGGCGGGGGTGCGGACCGCACCGGATGACACCATTTAGGGGGTGTCACCGAGGCAAAAAAGAAAAGGCAAAACGTACTTAAGAAAAATGCTTTTTTGCCAGTTCCATTAATAATTAATCAAAGTTAAATAGTCTTTTATGTACGAATCGACTATTATTTCAAGGGGGTAGGGATGATGATACCTAACTGTATTGTATTATAAACAGACTAAAGATAAACATAGTTAATAGCCTATACATATATATGTATATAATATATATATATATATATATATATATATATATATATATATATATATATATATATATACTTTTCGACTTGGGGGGGGGGGGGTAACCACAAAGTGCTGCACCGGACCTTGCGACGCCACTGATCGATATTCGAACATAAGTAGAATTGGTGTAGCAGTTGTGTTAAACATTGTATTACATATTATATTTAAATTGACCAGCAACTTTAAAGTAAAGCTAACTTGCATTTAGTCAATTCAGCAGAGAAAGTAGAGTTCATGTGTTGGTGTTATACCAATGACTAAGTAGGTCGTTGAGTCCACACACCCAGCCGAATTATGTTTCTCCAAACATGTCCAGGTACTCATCAGATCTGTGCATCAAGAAAGGTAATCGAACCTGGGAATCAAACTCGTGTCCTTGGAGACAAAAAGTGCGAACTCTTTTACTCGACCATGTCGTCCCATTTCTCCAGTTGCTTATTAACGCCCTGCTTTACAGTTTTCATGTTTGATAACTTTGTTTCAATGTTTTAAAGTCACACTAGTTGTTCTATCACTGCCGATCTATCAACTTTTATAAAAGATGTTTTACAATATCAGTTTATTCAAGGATTTCTAGTCAATTAGAATGACAACAATGTTTACACACATGTCAGTCAATGACAGCATCAAACTACGATTTTACTTTACATTTCTATTGGAGCAGGTCTAGAAGCGACGAAGTATCTAAATATAGAATGCGATGTGTCAAATATTTTTAAATGATTAGAATTCCAAATTTGTCTAATTATCTCATTCAAATTAGTCTTACAGGTGTATAGGCATAAACAAATGGACTTTGTGGTAAAGTTTAAACTTACAACTCATGACGGCCTGGCGCGAACATCGATATCACAACATGCACTGTTTGACAACAACTTTAACATCAACAGACAACAAAGATTAAAATAAAAGTAGAAAGACATATTGTTTTTCCATTTAATGACTTTTAGTGTAAACACGTTGTAAACAAATACAAATAGTCTGAATATGACATTTACAAAGATAGGTAACATTTTATTTACAGGTAATAGCCAGCCTAAATATGACAACAATTGCCGACAAAAGTTATAAGGAAATTAATTAAACCATTTGAAACAAATAAACTCTAAAATCGATCAATGTACATGCAAATTAATACAGTTAAACGGTTTACATCAATCAAAACATTTGTTTTAATCATTTAAATGTAATAAAATGTTGATAAGACATGCAGGTCTTAACACAGTTTAATGACGGGAAAAGTTCCGCCATTTTGTTTGTTTATATTGTGAAGACAAGGGGAGAGACCCAACAGTTACATCAGTCTCAATACTCCCCACTATAATTTCCTTCAGAGTTTGATCCACTGTGGGGATGGAGATACAACAACCACCCGCCGTATCCCGGCATGTACACAGACGCCCCACTGGAGCCAGGACATGTACATGTTGTGTACGTGTACTTGTACCAACCTCCCCTCCTCTCATGTTCGTGTGTCCATTGTCCTACAGAGACCTGTTTAGGACAGCCATGAGGATGTGACACTATAACGGTCAACTTGTCCACAACATCAAATCTCCTGTATTTGTCCCTTGCTTTCCTACTTAGACCATTAAAGCGCCCACACATCTTGTCCAGTTCATCAACCAACTTTAAGTCACATGACACACATGTAAACTTACACCAGTCTCCCTTAATGTATGCCTCTATCACCCCCCAGCCATCAAGACTGACCCCAGGACTTTTATTGTCATCAAAACCTACAACACACCTGGTCTGTCTCGCCTCACTCTCATCAAACACCACGTGTGCGGCTGTCAACACAACAACCTCACCCCACACTTTGCTGGGTGTGTCCGAGTGTTGACACTTGCCACATTTACAAGTGCCCTTGTTGTCACTCTCTGTGTACTTGTACACACGATACACCCTCCCCGTCCCTAACCTCATCACGTGACTTCCTCTGTCCTTATAACATGGATATGGAACTTGAGTGCCTGGGTAAAACTCTGGTCTCTTTAGACTGGTGAATTTAGTCTTTACCTGGACAGTTAGGGCTGCCAATGTTTTGATTGTCACAGACATGAGGTCGTCATGGTAACGTGAGGGGAGATAATTTGCGTTGAAATCTTTAAGAGGTATAAAACCTTTGTGACCTGGATTCTTCATACAGCCAGCAACATGTTTGTGTAGATCAGCTTCTCCTCCATAGCACATCTCAGCTTCATGATTTCCTGAAGGAACAAATAATTTATGTCTCTAGAAAAATAAATGCTATATATAATATTAAATTTTTAAATTTAAATAAACTTGACTAAAGTCATCTAGATGTTATACCACTACATATATTTAATTGTTTACATTATGTTTGCCTTATACTTTAGTAAATCTTACCTGGAAGGAATACACCTGATTCTTCAGTCATTATTTGCTTATTCTGAATTTCACAGCTTGCCACAACTGAAATAATGTAGACATTAAATTTCTATCTTGCAGTAACACATAATGACACACATGCCAATTAAATAATAGAAAATCATGTAAATTTTACAGACATATTTCCACATTTTGATTTTTCACTACGTCTTTAATATTTAATTGCCCTTTGGTTAATATGTTGTTAATTTTTCTTTTTAACAGCCAATGCAAAAAAGGCCTCTGTACCTAATGTTAATGTTTTTAAATAAAGCTATGATTAATTAATATTATTACATATTTTTAACAGTAGACAAAAGTTTTAACTTACAACTCGATAAGCAATAACATAGATGATTTCAGAATTGTAGAATAAATCACCTGACCATTTTAAAGTGAATTTAAATCGACTTTTTTCTTACCTGAACTTGGCGACTCCTGTTTTCTATTTGCCTTTCTGTAGGAATTGTCCATGGCCAATGCTGTTGTAATATAAAATAATCATCATTATATACCAGTATTAATCTTAAAAATTATAAAAACTTTTATAGATTTGTATTAATTATAAAAAAAAGTTATATTTATAGAAAATCAAAAAAAAAGTAAGTTTCTAAATTTTTCAACACTTACAATCTGGAGACTCTGAAATGGTTCAGCTTGAGCCTTGACTACACTACACACCTTTCTGTTCTCAAACAAATGTTGTTAGAATAAACTGAAAGCTATCAAACCTTGTAATCATGCTCTGAAAAATACACCAAAGTTCAACCTATTCTCTGTGAAATCAATAAGTCATGCTCCCATCAATGTACAAGTTTATATCAACGGTAAGAGCATCAGCTTCCAACTTGACACTGGAGCATCTCTAACAGTCATAACAAAGAAAGATTTTGACGCTGTCACAGGAGGATCAGTGTCTCTACAGCCGTGTCACAAGTGTCTAACAACATACACTGGTGACAACGTTCCGGTAATAGGAGAGTGTATGGTTCATGTAAGTTATAATGGTCAAAGTGTTAAACTTCCTCTTCTTGTGGTTGAAGGAAATGGACCGCCATTACTAGGTAGGAACTGGTTAAGTGATCTTAAGTTAAATTGGGAGAGTATTTGTTCATTGAAGAATGTAAAAGAATCTAGTCTTACTTCACTAGATAGAGTTATATCTGAAAATAAATGTGTTTTTGGTAACTCTGGATTACTAAATGATAGAACAGTGAAGATAAGCATTAAAGACACAAATCCAAGATACTGCAAAGCTAGAGTTCCACCTTATGCAATGAGGAATAAAATTGAAAATGAGCTAAGTAGATTGGAATCTAATGGCATCATAAAGAAGGTAGACTATTCTGATTGGGCGTCGCCCATTGTGCCAGTGTTAAAGAAGGATGGTTCTATAAGAATTTGTGGAGATTATAAAACTACACTGAATAAGCAAATAGAGCTAAATAGGTACCCTATACCTAACATTGAGGAAATCTCTTTGAATTTGGCAGGAGGAGACAAATTCACTGAATTAGACTTTAGTCATGCTTACACTCAACTAGAACTGCATCCAGATTCAAAAGTCTATACGACAATAAACACACATAAAGGACTCTACCAATATGAAAGACTATGTTTTGGCATATCATCTAGCCCTGGAATTTTCCAAGCTGTCATGGACAGTATTTTTAAGGATATTCCAAATGTTTGTGTGTACTTTGACAATGTGTACATAACTGGTAAGAATGACACTGAACATCTTAAAACACTTGATAAAGTATTGAAAATTGTTGGTGAAAAAGGTTTAAAGATAAACAAAGATAAATGTCAATTCATGTTGACAGAAATTAGTTTTCTTGGTTATATATTGAGCAAACAAGGCATCAGACCTCAACCTGAGAAAACAAAAGCCATTAAAGAAGCACCCAAACCTGAAAATACCCAACAACTAAGAGCTTTTTTGGGCTTAATAAATTACTATGCAAAGTTCATAGGAAATCTGTCTGGTAAACTATCACCACTGTACAAGCTGCTACAGAAAAATGCAACTTGGCACTGGGGTAAACAACAAGAAGCTGCTTTTAATACAGCAAAAGAGGCTTTGTCTTCTGACACCTTACTAACTCACTATGACCCAGGGAAAAGACTTATATTAACATGTGATGCTTCACCAGATGGTGTAGGAGCAGTCTTGTCCCACATGGATGAGAAGGGTGACAGACCCATTGCTTTTGCCAGTAGATCTTTGAACCAGGCTGAGAAAAATTATTCTCAGTTAGATAGGGAAGGCTTAGGCATCATTTTTGGTGTTAAGAAATTTCATAAGTTTCTGTTTGGTAGGAAGTTCACCATCTTTACAGATCATAAACCATTGCTAGGTTTATTTGGAGAAAACAAAACCCTACCTGAGCATGCCTCACCAGGAATTCAAAGATGGGCTATCACACTAACTGCATACAATTATGAATTGAAATACAAACCTGGATCTGAGAATAGTGCAGATAGTCTTAGTAGATTACCTTTAAAAAACCAAAGCCTGAGCTATGTACCAGAAGATGTATTGTTCTATTCACTATCATGGATAACTCCAATATAAATGTGAATGATATTAAAAGAGAAACACAAAAAGATGAGTGCTTAATAAAAGTATATGAGCACTGTATGAATGGTTGGCCTGAAGAGTCTGTGAAGGATGACTTAAGGCCATATAGAATAAGAAATTAAAACCCTTTGTGAAGATAATATAAAAGATGGAGAAGATGCAGTCCATTATCAGTCAGAGTTGCCTAAACAAAGTACTTGTAACTTAATAAATGATTATGGTGATATGGCAATTTCAAATGTTTTAAAGAGAATACATTAGTAAGAAGGAATGTGATCATCAAACAACTTTGCTAACATCATTAGCACTTACAGAAACTAAAAGGGTAACATCAAACAGAAGAAGCTAAATGTGACAATGAAAGAGTAAACAGGTTATTAGCCAAATACCGCACAACTCCTCATATAACAACAGATGTTGCACCATGTGAATTGCTATGTGGTAGGAAAATTAAAACTCATCTTGACCTACTACATCCAACTGTTCAAAGGTCTGTTTCCCAACATCAACATACACAAAAAGTAAATCATGACAAATCATCCATTGAAAGAGAATTTGCAGTTAATGATAATGTGTATCTGAGAAATTATGGGAGAAAGGAAAAATGGATACCAGGTCAAATTGTTCAATGTACAGGACCTGTGTCTTATAAAGTAAAAACAAATGATGGACTTATTGTCCGTAGACATGCAGACCAGTTGAAAATAACTTGTGCAGATAATAAGTGTGAATCTGTCAATCCCACCAAGTCTGATCAGTTCACACCAACTCAGTTTGTTCCACAACCAAGTTCTGTTGATATGAGTGAACCAAGTTGTCTGGAGTCAGAAAATGTAAATTCTGGAGTTAATGATTTAAATCCTAGACCTCCTGAGATAGAGAATCCAGATGGTCAGAATCTTGAGTCACCAAATCAAAAGCCACTGAGAAGGTCAAGCAGGACAATCAAAGTCCCAAATAAGTTAGACCTATGATTTTAAAGGTCAAGAGGACTTTGACATTATTGTTTTGTATCTTGATTATGTTGTGGCATATTGTGCATTGTTTGTAAGGATGTAATCTACCATAGTGTTCATGTTACAATATAATTGGTGATTTTAGGATACTATCAATTGTTCTATTGAGAGATGTGTTATTGTGTTCTAAGGGTAAAGGGATGTAATAGATTGAGATAATTGTATTGGTATTATATTTATATTGTTATCTTGAGTGATGTCCCTTACATGTTGTTATCTATATATAGTTGTCTCTGGCCACTTCCTCGCTCTCTCTTGGCATCATGGCTGTCTGTGAATAAAGGCTGTTAACACCAATGTGGCTCCTCGTCAATCTATAACATCTATAATAGTAGATCGTTTAATTATTAATTATTTTGAATTTGGACATGGTTCACATTGACATACATAAATACTAGATCTAAAGAGTCCCATTTTCTGCGATTTTCTAACTAGATCTAGATCTAGGCCCTAATTATATTTTACATACAGCAGCAAACTTGATCAATAGAATCAATGAGTTCAGTGGCGTAGGCATGGGGGTTAGGGGGGTCATAACCCCCCATAGACCCCTCGGTATATATACAAAGTATGAGGGGTGGGGTGCAAATCAAAAGTCTAAGGGGGGGGGTGCAAATCGAAAGTTTGTCCCCGGGTAAATATTGGACCCCCCCCCCACTTGAGACGATCCTGGCTACGCCACTGAATGAGTTTATGTAGGGGTCACTCGTTGCAGATCAGTTTGCAACATAACGGCATAATTAAAAAAAACTGTCTAAAATAAATTTGCGTCAGAACGTCCTTATCTCCTCTAATAGGCTAACTGCAAACACTTTTAATCCACACCATGTAAATTAGATTTCTTATCTAAAAAAAAAAGGAAATAAAAAATTCATGAACGAGTTACATTTTTTAAGCGTCGCAAAAATCAGTAGCTACCCACACGACACCCACCCAATTGAAACTGCAGTTTAGTTGACTACGGGCAAGTGCTAGAGTCTAGCTAAATATTAAGACGATATGTTAAACTGTTAACTACGTACGACCAATGTATATAATAGATGGATAATTTTTGTTTGACTTAATTTATTAAGAATCAATCAAAGAATAATATTTAGTTTAACGTATTTAATGTGGTCTATTTATTGTAAAGTTAGGAAATATTTTAAATACAACTAATTAAATTAATAGAAATAGAAAGAGATATAATAATTACAATCATACAGTCAGCTACAGTGTGCTTAGGCCTATGTTGAATTAAAATGGCGATCGGTCACAGAGTGCTATTATTAGTACCACGTAAGTTCGTTAATCTGTGGTTTTCCCGAACTTATATATTATGTCTAATCGTATGATTAATAACTTCTTATATTGTCCACGCCCGAATACGTTCCAATGTATTTATTTTTTTCTTTGCGTATTAATTTTTTTTTCGTCAGTGTGAAAATGTATGTGTCCAGGAAGAAACATAAACACATGTGATATTTTTAGTGTGTGCAGATAGGTCAAAGTTTCATGATATGTGTTCAATTTTTCTTTACTTTGTCAATATAAAATATATAAGTTTGACTGATATTATTCCTATAGGAAAAAATTATACATACATTTATTTTTATATATGTTTCGTCATTTTAATAATATGCATACTTATATTCTTATAACACATAAACCTGTACTATGAGGTAACATACCTCGATGTTAGTGTTTTAGTAGTTATAAAATGTCATTAATAAATTGGATTTAGAACTTTCCTTTCCCTTTCAATAACTACATAAACTTATAATCCACCTTATAGAAACTACATTTGTATCCACGAAAGAAAATCATAACAAGCGTCGCAAAAATCAGTAATAAAACACTATCCACTATGTCAACTGCTTAGTTAATAAATCTCAATTCT